CCTCTTCCCTGGTTCCCTGTTCATTTCTGTTTCAGTCCCTCTGGCTGCCTGCCCTGGCCCCCTGTCCTATGTTTTAATGTGGGGCCCATGGGAACTGGAGTTCACAGCAAAACAGGAAGAGCCTGTGAGCAGGAAGATGGGAGTGGGGCAGGGGGTGAACAGCCAGCAGTAACCTCAGCTCCTCGCCTCCCACATCTGGACTGAAGCATCCTCAGAGCTCTCTGCCTGTCCCACTGCAGCCCCCCAGGCCTGGCTTCCTTCATGTCAGCACATCACTGGTCCAGCAGACTCGAGCGGCAACAAGACAGGAGCATCCTGGACTCTGACACAGGAGAAAAAAAGAGTACAGGGCCTGGAGGAAGGACATCTGGATTCTGATCCCAGGTTGGCCACTGTGTGTGGTCTTCGAGAAGACCTTCCATGAGCTTAGTGTTTTCTGTAAAATGGAGCTTGTGTTATTTACTGTCCTTGCTGGGGCTGCTCTAAGGACCAAAAAGATAGTGAGGGGTTTGTATATGGAAATAAGCATCGGAAAGTTAACAATGTACAGATTCAAGGTGATGGGAAGTCCCATAGCTGAAAAGACTGGAAATTTAATGGTAACTGCTACCATTTCTTAAACACTTACTATGCACCATACACTGTGCTGTGATATATTGTTTAATTCTCACGAAACTTTATGTGGCAAAAAAAAAAAAAAAAAAAATTATTATCCCTATTTTAAATATTGGGAAGTAGGTTCAGAGACATTAAGTAACTTGCTTAATCTTGATCACACAGAGGGAGAGGCAAGGCCAGGATTTGAACCCAAATTCTGAGCCCAGAGCCCAAAAGATAAATCAACATGCTGAGATGGAATTGACTAGAGCTAACGAGTATAGGATAGAAGGGAATCATGTTGTTCTCTTATTTCTTTAACAAGCAGGATCACAGTGCCTATGGGAGGCCCTGATCCATGGGCTACAGGGGAGACAAAATCAATAAAACATGGTGTCTATTTTCAGGGACAGATCTCATGTTCCAAGCAACAGGGCAGGAAGGCTATGGCTATAGTCTCACTAGTTGCTTGACAGAGCCTGCTGTCACTTCAGACAAAACTGTTCTTAGATGAGGGAACTTGCATACCTTCCCAGATCCATCCTAGGCTGGCACCTGGGTCACCCACCATCTCTACCTGCACCCCTATCCCAGGCCTGCCACTGCTCTTCTCCTGGCCTCCTCTCAGTGGCCCTCACAGGGCACCCACATTCAGAGTCTCCCAGGAAGGCCCAGCACATGCCTCTCTCCACCCCTGAAGTTCTGCCAGCTTGGCTGAGGCCTAGGGCTCGTGGGGAGAGCTTCTTGGCCCCTTCCCAGAGGCAGAGGAGGAGGATGGTGTCTGGGAAAGCAAGCTGGGGCTCCGTGTTGCAATTTCAGGCTGTACTGGGACCTTTGCTCCACGAACTGTCTATGGAGGGGAGGGAACGCCAACTCTGGAGGCTGCAGGGATTGGGGTGGGGGTTCCTGGGAGGCAGTCCTTCTGTAAGAGCAGCTAAGAGCAGCTGGGGTGAGGAGAGGAAGGGGAGAAGCAGCATGAACTGGGCTGGTCTGCAGGAAGTGTAGGGAGGCAGGGGTGGCCCTGGGCTGAGGGGGTGGCTGGCTGGGGAGGAGTCAGTGTGGTGGGGAAGCTTCCCCGTGGGCGGGGGTGAGGAGGCCAGGGCTCTGGTCTGTCAGCTCCGGCTCCGTTCTGCCTGGCAGGAAGGAGCGGTGGCCCGACCCCTTGGCAGTCCCTCCCCTCAGCCTTTCCCCATATTACTTCCCTTGGGCTCTGGGTCCCTCTCTTGTTCAGCTCCCGCTCCTCGCCGCTACCAGCTGAAGCCTCTGGACAAGGGACTGCACCATCCTCCTCTCTCAGCAAGGGGGCTCCAGAGACTGCCCCAGCCAGGAAGTCTGGTGGCCTGGGCATTCGGTGGGTCTGCCCCTCAGCACTGGCCTGGGGCTCTGTGTGTATGTGTGTCTGGTGCATGGTGGGGGTCCAGTGGATATTAGAAGGGGGTCTTTGGGGAGAAGGGAGGGATGATGATGCCAATGAAAGCTTGAGCAGTGACAGGATTCTATTTAGGTCCCAGAATAACTCCTGAGGGGCCATGAGGGAGGAGGTCCTGTATGTGAATGGGGGCAACTCTTTGAGGCAACAGGTTTGTGCTGGGATCCTGGGAAGCGGCAGGAGGGAGGTTGTCTAGCAAGATGTTTTACTGGGTAGAAAGAACCTTGATCGCATGTCCTGGTCCTGCCCAACTTCGGCTATCCCCAGTGCTGGAGTGAGGGGGAAGGGGCTCTGACAGAACTAGGGCAGATGTGCTCAAACAGTCCCTGATGGCCTGGAGAGGGGCCCTGCAGAGAAAAGATGGCATGGTGGCTGAGAGCTCAGACTTTGGAGTCAGAGAGACTAGAGTTGGAATCTTGGTCAAACTGCCTGACAGTGTGGCCATAGGCAATTTACTTAATCTCTTTGAACTTCAGTTTTCTCATCTGTAAAGTGGGCATAAGAATAGTCTGACCTCATAAAGATACTATGAGGAAGGTATGTGAAGCCTTAGCACAGGCTGATATTTATCTTTCTCAAGTAAATGTTAGCACTGATGAAGAAGGAACCCAGTTCTGGAAGAGTATAACCCGAGTTGTTCCTGCAGGACAGTTCCTTGGTAATGTACAGGGCTCCGGGAAGAGATGTCCTTGTGGCTGGAGGCCCCTGTGCCTGACGTTTCTCCTGGTAAGCTGCTTCACTCCAGCCCTCTCCCCTGAGCCAGGGCCCACCCAGGCCCCAGATGCTCTCCTCCTGCAGGAATCAGCCTCCTTCAGTATCTGCCTTCTGCCCTTCCCCAGAGAGGCGTTCTTGCCTCCTCTTGCCAAGGCTACCTCTGCCCTGGTTCTGGTGCCTTGCCCTTCGCAGGCACCCACTGGTCCTTCTCAATCTGGATTTGCGACTGGGAAGAATTGGCATGCCCAATGCTTACCAGCTCTGTCTTTGAAGAGTTCTGTCTGATCTCTGAAATAGATACACATCAGCCCCTCACAGGAAACTAAGGTTAACCTCCTCATTTAAGGTATCGAGGGGCAGGGGACTGCAAGCAGCTAGTTCTAGAGCCTACACAAATCCCAGGGTCCTGAAGTCTGAGCCGATGTTTTGCCGCCCTCTATGGGTGGAGATAAGTTTGCAGTTTCCCAGCCAGGACACTGGGAAAGTGGTGGGGGAGGACCTGAGACCCCTTGCGCCTCTCTTTCCAGGCTCAGACTCCGCTGTGGAGCTGTGGGAAGCAGATGCACAAGATGCAAGCAGCCAGGAGCTGGGAGGCAGCAACTTCACCCTCAGGGAGGAAGCCCGCGTGCCCCAATCAGCTAGGAGCACTTTGGGGGTGGGGCTGGAGGCAGCAGAGCCCACATCCCTGCACCCTGGGGTGGAGGCCCCTCCAGAGTCCACAGGTGAAGAGCTACTGGATTTGGAGGAAGTAGGGGCTCCACGGATCTGGGAGGGGTATCTGGCGGCTCTTTACCTTATAAGAGTGTGATTAAGTCTGAAGGCTTTGGTGTCAAGTAGACCTGAGTGATCTGAGTGAATTTTGTCTCTAACTTAGGCCTTTCTGAGCCTCAATTTCCTTATTCATAAAATGGAAATAGTAATAGTACTTATCTCTTATGGTTGTTGTCAGGATTGATGCACATAAAGGGCTCACATAGTACCTGGGACGTAATAAATAGCACTTGGCATACGAGAGCTACTTTCTTATAATAGAGAGACTAAATTGCGTATTAAAAAGGCATGAAGGTCACTGAGTGCTCAGGGCAGTGGCCAGCTGGGCACCAAGCTCGTTCCTTGGAGAAGAACATTAAGACATTTCTCTGTATCCAGAGCTCCGTCCACAAAAGCGGAAAAAAGGGCCAGCCCCCAAAATGCTGGGGAATGAGCTGTGCAGTGTGTGTGGAGACAAGGCATCTGGCTTCCACTACAACGTGCTGAGTTGCGAAGGCTGCAAGGGATTCTTCCGCCGCAGTGTCATCAAAGGGGCGCGCTACGTCTGCCACAGTGGGGGCCACTGCCCCATGGATACCTATATGCGTCGCAAGTGCCAGGAGTGTCGCCTTCGCAAATGCCGCCAGGCTGGCATGCGAGAGGAGTGTGAGTACCTGAGGATAGGAGATGGGGAGGGGCTGATGGGAAAGAGGGCACAGGCAGGTGCTCGGATGTAAGGGCAGACAGGCAGCTGAGTTTACAGGGCCTTCTGACACTGTGAATGTGGATTTGAATATCTTCCTTGCTCTGACCCAGTGATCTCTGCTCTTCTGGAGCCTCAAACTACCTCTCTGGCCCATCCTTGCTTCCTTCCTCTCCCTCTTCTTCCCTCCTTATGTCTGGTCCCATCCTTAGGTGTCCTGTCAGAAGAACAGATCCGCCTGAAGAAACTGAAGCGGCAAGAGGAAGAAAAGGCTCAGGCCACATCCTTACCTCCAAGGGCATCCTCACCTCCCCAAGTCCTGCCCCAGCTCAGCCCAGAGCAACTAGGCATGATTGAGAAGCTGGTAGCTGCCCAGCAACAGTGTAACAGACGTTCCTTTTCTGACCGGCTTCGAGTCACGGTACCTGATGGACCTGGGGAGAGGTGGCTGTGGCCAGAATGTCAGCTGGCTTCTTGATATCTGACCCAGAGTGGTTTGGTTTTTTTTCTTCCTTGCCCTCCGGGTAGCCTTGGCCCGTGGCACCAGATCCCCAGAGCCGGGAGGCCCGTCAGCAGCGCTTTGCCCACTTCACTGAGTTGGCCATTGTCTCAGTGCAGGAGATCGTGGATTTTGCCAAACAGCTGCCTGGCTTCCTGCAGCTCAGCCGGGAGGACCAAATCGCCCTGCTGAAGACCTCTGCGATCGAGGTAGCTGGCAGGGTGGAGGGGTGAAGGGAAAACCAGAGTGGGATTGTCTGTGGGAGGGGTCTCCAGACAGCCAGCTAGGAAGCCAGATCCACAGGGAAGTAGAGATGAGGGGCTTGACCTTCCCTTGAAGGTGCCCCATGCCAAGACCAGCCCGCCGCATCCCTGTTTGAGGTTTGCTACTTGTATGCAGGTGATGCTTCTGGAGACATCTCGGAGGTACAACCCTGAGAGTGAGAGTATCACCTTCCTCAAAGATTTCAGTTATAACCGGGAAGACTTTGCCAAAGCAGGTGAGAACTGAGATTACAAAGAGACTGCATTGGATGGACAGTTTTTGTCCCGGAGCCCGTAGTGACTCCAGAGCCACAGGTCCAAGGTTTGAGTGGCTATAAAGGGAAGGCTTCACTTGTTTTTCCAAGACAGAAAGTTGGAATGCTAATTGGCCTTTCTCAACTGCCTCAAGTAGAATCCTGTCCTCTGTTGTAATAGGCCAGTGGTTCTCAGACTGTGTTCCAAGGAACCTGAGCGGAGAGAGTTCCGTGGAAGCGTCACCTTAGAGGAGAAACAAGGAAGGACAGGAATGTCCTTTATCTGTAGCCAAACAATAAGCTCCATTTAAATCTGCATTATATATAGTGCTTCTGCATAACGTTTTGCTTCAAGAAAAGATTTTACAGCTAGAAAGAAAAAACGAAAACAACCATGCCAAGCCTTTTAGTAGTCACTAATGGGCAAATCTTTCTCAGATGTGCTCTTTAAGGATCATTTAGACTAATTTCCTCCTATTTTTCAATTGCTCTTTCTCATGAGCCATGAAACTGGAGCTGAAACATGGCAAACGTGCCTAGATGGGGAAGCTTTAGGGTAAGAGTGGATGCTTCTATCCCCATTCTGTACCTGGAGTATTTTCTCCAAGAATTTGTTCCCATTGCTGCTGTCTGTCTGATGCTGGCTTTCAAGCTAAGTGGTGTTGATTTCCTCATATTCGGTTGCTGGTAATATTTGTGTTATGTGAGCAGGGTTGGGAAAGGATGGAAGGCTGAGGAACTTGAACTGAGGCTCAACTGGGTGAGTGAGTCTATAAAATATGGCTGATGTTATGACTCGGTTCTTGAGGTTGATAGGTCCTGGTTTCCAGGGCAGAGCTCATAAAATCTTCTCTGGTGTCTGGTGACTCAGGCCAGCTCATGTGCCTCTTGTCCCAACACAGCCAGTGAGCTTTCTAGGAAGGCCTCCCTTAACTATAGGGCATGGCAGGGTTGTGTTGGCACCTCTTGCCTTCAGTGTGCTGCCTGAATGTATGGGCATCTAATAGGAACAATTTAATGACTTTTCCCAGCTTAAAAAACCCAGGCCTGCCCTCTTTCTCTACCAAAACGTCTTTCCCCCAAGTGGTTATTATCCCAGTCTTTAACCACAGCCTTCTCCTTCATAACATCCTCCTCTCTGAACCCTTCCCGGTTCTCATGTCTGTGTGTTCCTTCAGTACTCATGGACTTGTGCTGTCCGAATCTGTACCTATTTATAGATTCATTTATATAAGCAATTTGACATCATGTTTGCCTTTTACTGGTCATTTTGTCAGTGAGGTCTGAGAGTGAAAGAACAGGCTCATTTTTCCTGGTCTCCTTCTCCCTCTACAAGACTAATGATGTGGACTGATGGTATTGGAGGTGTTCATTTAGCAAGTAGCAGCGGACACTTGCAGGGTGCATAACCCTACTGTAGAACCTCCTTGTCCTCCCTGAACAAATAAACTGTTCAGTACAATTCAAGGCTCAATACTTCAACAAATGCTTTATAAAATGGGGCTTGTCCATTAAGTAGATCAACACATTTGATAAACATCAGGGGAAACTACAGGAAGTGACTAATCTTGCAAGAAGCCTCGAATGGAAAAGTTAGCAGATGGTTGCTAAAAGAAATTTGAGAAAGCCTAGGGAACAGCGTGGAGTGGGGGGACTTTTGACTGTGTGTGGGAGAAGTGTTCTTTAGATGTCATGACTTAAGGTCACGGTTTGTTGAACTTTAGTCTCCTCAGCAAGAAGACTGGTTCTATTTTTAAATTTTTATTTAACAAAAACTCATATATTAGTTACCATATATGCCACACATTATTCTAAGGACCCATTGTGAGGTAGGTACTATTATCACCATTTTACAGATGGGAAAACTAAAGCTCAGAGAGGTTAAATAACTTACCCAAGGTCACACAGCCTAGTAAATGGTAGAGCCAGGACTTAAATCCAGATAGTCTGGCTCCATAGTCTATACCCTCAACCACATTGCTAATTTCCCCCAGGAAGTGAAACATGAAATGTATCTCTAGTATTCAAACAAGTAAGGCTAATTGCCAGTGAAAAAGTCTTTTTTATAAACAAAAACAAGTTGCCTCTATTTCTAGTAATGTGGGGCTCTCAATAATTTTAATCAGAATAACAGAATTATTATCATCATCTGATTCACCACCCCCTATATGTCGGCATAGTGCTTAGTGCTCTGCCTGCTTTATCATTTAAGCACACAACAGTCTTATAAGTTCAGATATGTCTCCCATCTCACAGGTGAAGCTTAGAGAGGTTAAGAAACTGGCCCAAGGTTATAGAGCAGAGCCATGGAGGCTTCTTATTGAGTTCCTAGTTGTTCCCTAAGTTGTGAAGTTGGAGGAGGGAAGGAAGTTCCTGCCACTAGTGCCACATGCCTAGCCTCCCTTCTTCCTCCCCAGGGCTGCAAGTGGAGTTCATCAACCCCATCTTCGAGTTCTCCAGAGCCATGAATGAGCTGCAACTCAATGATGCCGAGTTTGCTTTGCTCATTGCCATCAGCATCTTTTCTGCAGGTGTGGAGAAGGGGCAAGAAGGAAAATGAGCAAGAGACTTGAACTAAGGAGGGCTGAAGGCTCCATAGGGCGGATATCATAGGGGTGGTATGATATCTCACTGTGTTACTTTGGGATGGGAGAGGTTGGGTGGGGCATGTCCCTATTTTTTGGTTGTGATTTGGGGTATGGAACTGACCCTGGCCAGACCTGCTCCTGAACTCTGTTGGTGACCTATAGACCGGCCCAATGTGCAGGACCAGCTCCAGGTTGAGAGACTGCAACACACATATGTGGAGGCCCTGCATGCCTATGTCTCCATCCACCACCCCCATGTGAGTCTCCCCTTTGTACCCTTTTCCTCCTCTCCACAGGCTCATTCCCTGACACACTACTTTCCCTTCAAAGATCCCTCCCATTATATCTTGCAGACAATTCTCTACCTCTCCCACAGCTCCCCTACCCTTTCCCTGTCTCTGGGGAGAGACAAAAGCTATACTTGTTCCGCCCCCTCCCCCAGGACCGGCTGATGTTCCCAAGGATGCTAATGAAGCTGGTGAGCCTCCGGACACTGAGCAGCGTCCACTCAGAGCAAGTGTTTGCACTACGTCTGCAGGACAAAAAGCTTCCTCCGCTGCTCTCTGAGATCTGGGATGTGCATGAATGACAGTCCTTTTTACCCTTTTCTGTTTTCCGGGCTGGCTGTGAGGCCCTGTGGTTGCCTCCTAGAGGTGGAATAGACTGAGAAGGGTAAACATTCCTGGGAGCTGGGTAAAGGAGATCCTCGTGTGGCATTAAAGGAGAGTCAAAGGGCTGGGAGTTTTGTGGCTGCTGGGCAGGGGGGTTCCTGCCAAAGCTGTGCTCCATTTGAACACTGTGCTGACCCTACCAAATGGATGAACTTGGGGGCCACTTTGCACAAGGTTCTCCAGGGCCCTGCCCATCCTGCCTCCACCACTTCCTGTTTTCCCCATAGGGCCCCAAGAGAAATTCTCCACTGTCACTCTGCGGCTTGGCTATAAATGCCTTGGGGCTGCATCACTGATAGGTCTGGCACTATTTGTACAGGAAAACCAAAATAAAGAATGAGAGAAACAATTTCTGGATAGGGAGTGGGGGCACGGCAATAGAGGAAAGCCTGAGTCCTTTAGGATTGCCCCCAGCCTCAGAAGGAAACAAGTTACAAGTGCTAGCCTTAGCAGTGGGAGGGAACCTCCTTTTACTAGCCCCATTGCACTGTTAGGGTTTATGAAATGCTGAAGCTCAGATGCCCCTTTCACTTTCATGATCCAGGGGAGGATCATGTTGTCTTTCCATGCACCTGTGTTCGCGTGCGCGCGTGTATGCTTTGATTTTTCCGTCGGCATCTAAAAGAGGCCACAGCAATCCCTCCTGTGGGACAGGAAGAAAAGCCCCCGAGGCCCAGTCTCGGATTGGATGTCTCAGGAAGATCGGACTCCATTTCCCAGCGGGCACCGCGGCACCGCTCACGCCCCTTTCCCTTTAAGCGCACACGGTGTAGGTGATACTGCGCCGCGCCTTCCGGCCTCAATTCCCCCCGCCACCCCTGAATTGGTAGGCTCCACCGCCAGAGCAGTCGGCTTTTCAGCTCAGGAGGCTGGGCACTTCCAAGCCGTGTGCAGGGGGAGAAAGGTGAGGTGGGGCGGGGGGGATGGTCAGAAGTCTCAGGGGCCGTTTATCTTACGAAGTCTCTTCCCAATTAATCCACATTTCGTTGCAATGGGCTCTATTACTATGTGAAAAATTTGCGCAACCTAAACAAAAGGTATTCCTTTGGGTCCTCCCCTTGGCCCGCAGGGGCGCTGGGCTGGCCCCGCGCTCCCCTTTACGTTCCGACTCCCACACGTATAGGTGTGTGCGTCGCCGCCTTTCTCCCGAGGTCGGCTCCACCCTTCAGCGCTCGGCTTAGTGCCGCTCTGTCCCCCCTCCCCGGGGGGTGAATGGTACGGCCCCTGGCCCCCCTAGCCTCCCTTTCCTCACCCGATCGGAGTGGTACGTGCCCCCCCGTGCAGACGCGGAACTGGCGTGCGCTCGGAGCAGCGCCCGCGCTGGGGAGTGAATGACGCTCCGCTGCCGGGGTACCTCTGACTGGGCCTGGCCGATGCCCCGAGTCTTGGGAGGTAGGAAGGTCCGGGCCACTGGGAGCCCTGAAAGGGTATTTGGGACGGGGCTCCTAGGAGGAAAATGGCTCTGAGAGGAAACAGGGGCTCTAGGGGGAGGGGTATCTGAGGAGGCCCTAAAGGAGCGTGAGGAAGCTTGCGGTCTCGAGAGCAAGTGGGGGTCCGAAGAGAAGGGGCAGGCTAGAAGTGGGGGCGCTCCAAGCTGCCGAGGGGGTGTGGGCAGCGGGCCTGGGCGCAGCTCGCGGCTGCTGGGCTCGATTCTAGCCGGTCTGGCTGGCGGCACTGGTTCCGGGGCGGAGGCGGGGGAGAACTGTCCAGCAGGTGAGGGGGCGGGCAGAGCTGTCCAGCCCCGGGGCCGATCCGGGATTGGCACCTGGCACGCGCGCGCGTGAGTGTGTGTGTGTGTGCGCAGCTGTCCGGCCGGGGCCGATCCGGGATTGGCACCTGGCACGCGCGCGCGTGAGTGTGTGTGTGTGTGCGCGCGCGCGCGTGCGCGCCTTATTTTTGGTTAGGGTTTAAAGAACCACATTTGGTTCTCAAAACATTTTTTTTTTTTAATTTTAATTTAGTGCTTCAAAATTAGCTTGTTAGATAGTGGAGACACCGTGTAATCTTTTCTGCAACTGCTTCCCTCTGCATCTTCGTGCATCTCTAAATTCTACTTTTTCCTGCCCTACCCTCTTCTCCAGCCCTGCCTATTGCCTGCCTCATTGCTCTCGTTCCTGGACCAGGCTGTGCTGATATGCTTGCAAGGTCACTGCCTTGGGAGGAGGAGGAGATGAGAGAGCCTCCTCTTGTGCTCATGTCAGCAAAGATGTCATATCGTTCTCTGGTTTCTGTGGTTTTACTCTGACATCCTGCCCCAAACGAGGGACGAGTCCAAAAGGCTGGTTAATGTGGCCATTTGTAGGCAGAAAAGACATCAATAGCTTAAAGAAAGGTCTGTGGATTCTAAATCTGCCTCTGGATGAAGTGGATGGTGATGTAGGACTTCAGCAGATAGGTACGAATTTTGAGCTTGATGCCTTTGGAATATAGGAGCTAGAAACCTGGAGTTCCACGTTAGTAAATATGGTTGAGGCAGGAGGCAGAGTCAGCTTGGGTGGACATGAAGACTGAATTAAAGGTGGTGTTAGAAGATTTGTGAGGAGGGGAGAGAATAGGAAGAAAAACCTTGGTTGTCTGTAATCCGAATAACCAAAGGCAATGGCTGTTGATGAGATAGAAATTGTAACTAAAAATTTATTCTATTGCTAATAGCTAGAATAATCATAAGATTTCAGGGTCTTTGTAGCTTTAGAGGGAGATGAGCACTGTAGAGCATGATAATGACTTGAGTTTTAGAAAATGTTTCTCAGTGGAGAGGGCTGGGATACCACCAAGGTTAGAGGCCTGATGCCTAACATACTAGTGGAGGATGCTTCAAATGTGATCTTTGAGATTTTAGCAGGAAAGGGCTCCTGGCTTTCAATGTAAACATAGATTTCAAGGCTAAGCCTTGAGCTCTGGTCCTGTAGATTCGGTTTTAAGATGCAGCAGGTCCTCGCATAATGTCGTTTTGTTCAACATCATTTAGTTATAATGTTGATGGGATGCTATAGGAACTTAACTCTTGTTTATGTCAATTAGTCTATGTTAAAATTGGTTTTGTTATACATCGTTTCACTTAAAAATGAAGAACTTATTGACGATGTTAAGTGAAGATTTACTGTATTTTGGCTCTCACCCTAGGCATTTTCCACTTATTCTTTATAGAATGAATTATGCTTTTATTCATCTCTCATTTCATTTCTCTGTTTCTCTCCCTTTCTCATTCTATTTGAGAGGAACCGAATTCAGCTCTGTAACAGTGCTCCATGTTCTCTAGGATGCTCATGGCTCCATAGCATTGGAGAGAACCAGAGGACTTTCTGGGTGGCAGTGATACCTAGAAATGAGTATATGGCATGCTTGAGAACTTGGTTTTGGTTGTGTGGAAAGGAGATATCTCTTTCAAACTCTAGAATTAGGACAAAGGGCAAACTAAAGACAGGTGGGGGAGAAGAAAACCTAATAATTAGCAGGTGCTGTCGGTGGAAGAGTTGTCTCCAGATTCAAGGAGAGTGAATTGTTATGGGTCCTGGCCGACTCTGGAGTAGCAGCTGCTAGCACTGTGCGGTCACCAAGCAGAGGAGGGGCTGTGGCTCTGTTATAAATAGTACTGGGAGCCAGGGTTGCTATGGAGACAAAACTGAATCCTATTACCTGCAGGTCCTCTATTGGGAGCACTGGGAAAGGAGGGAGCAGTATTTTGAGGATTTGAGAGGTTTTGCAAATAGGTCTTTTTAATTATTATTATTAAGTAGGGGAGAAAAAAGATAGAACTTCTACTCATTATCTGAATCAAATAGGACCTTGAGCATACAGGAAGTGTGTATGTCTGTGTGTATGGGAGTGCACGAAGCCCCAAAGAAGGGAGCGGTGTGCGACCGTGTGTGTAATGTAGTGGGATTCTCTCTGTGTGATTAGTGAACAGGTCTTAGTGTGGCCATGTGTAGAGCACAGAGGTGGAATTCTGGAAGTGTTGAAAATAGCCTTGTAGGGGAATGAAACATTTCATTACAGAAGTATTTGGAGACCCAAGAGGAAATAAATTATAATTAAGACCATGTAAGCTTTTCCTAATTTTTGCATTATGGTTTAGAAATTCCTCTGAGCATCTCTCCCTGTCCTTGCAGAAATCCTGTCATTTCTACATCTAATTCCTAATCTTTGTCAGGTATAGAAGGAATAGGTCTCATTTTGTGTATCATATTACTGATTCCAATCCTGGGACTAAAATAGAGGACTATGATTCAGCACCAAGGGCAGAGCTAGTAGCAGTAGCCACTGGGCCTCTTTCTTGCTTGAAGAGGGAAGAAAAATGGTTTAGATAAAGAGAGTGGGCCATAGATATTCTTCATTTGAGATTTCATGGGGTAGAATAGCCAGCCATTATTGTCTGGCTGCGATTAACTATACAGTCTATGTGGTAGTTTTACATCAAACTGAATGCAGAATATTGGAACAGAAAATAATTAGGTTTCCACCTAGAGCAAGGAGTGCAGATTAGTACTGATTAGAGAGTATGGTTTGATCACGATCCACCCTGGAGTGGTCCTGAAAGTGACTTAATTTTTGTTATCATAATGACTGAGTCCAGGTTAGACTAACTGGGTCTGTTTTTCAGAAACAGAGCCTCAGGGGCAAGGCTGGGAATGAACTGCTTGATAGGGATGGAAAAGTGAGCCATTATTTATCCTACTTCTTGACATTTGACTCTATGAGCTCATAAACCTACACCAAACTCTAGGCTTGGGAAAGTGTCAGGTTCTCCTATCTTTAGTACTAAAATGAAAGACCTTCTGACCTATGCCGCTGGCTGGGATGAAGCTGAGAGGGCTGAGTCCCTTAGGCACAGCAGTGGATCTTATCAGTACTTTTTTCCTATTAGACTTGGATTTTCAGATCATATCAGAATTCCTCCTGGGAACACTGACTCCTTGCTTGGTGCCTTGAAGTTTCTTTGAAATGAACTGATGAATTGGAACCATGGTGCAAAAGAAGAAGTTCTGTCCTCGGTTACTTGACTATCTAGTGATCGTAGGCGCCAGGTAACCAAGAAAAGACTTGATTTTTGCCTTGTCATCTGG